ACCAGCAAGTCATAGGCACATCACCTCATTTTCACCATGGAGATCCCTCAACAGGCCACACTGGTTTTAGCACATTTTTTTTCACATTCCTTTACAGAATTAATTACTTGGATGGAATTTAAAGAGTAATTTATTAACTTTGTGACAAGTTGTATTACTGTAGTTCTGTGTAGTACAGCAAAGGTCATAGTATAAGGTCATTCAGGTGGGAAGGAACCTCAGCAAGTCTCTAGTCCAACATCCTGCTCAAAACAGGGCCAGCTATGGGATCAGACCAGGTTGCTCAGGGCTTTGTCCAGCCAAGTCTTGAAAACCTCAAAGGATGCCAACTGCACAACTTGTCTGGGCAAACCTTTTCCACTGTTTCACTCTTCTCCTGGGGGAAAATGTTTTGCTTATAGTTCTGTCCAGAACCTCTCTTGTCTCTTCCTGCCACCATACACAACTGTGAAGATCCTGGCTCCACCTTATTGATAACCTCCTCATAGGTACTGGAGGACTGCTATTAGGTTTCCCCCTGCAAGTTGTCTTTTCTCCAAGCTGAACAAGCCCCAGTCCCTCAGCTGCTTCTCACAAGTCAGGTGTTCCAGCTCTCAACCATCATGGTGCCCCTCTGCTCAACTCATTTTAGGTTTTTGATGTCTTTCCTGGGGGCCCAAAGTAACGGGCACAGTAATCTTGACACAGTAATGTAGATGCAGTCCGAGGAGTGCTGAATAGAAGGGGAATAATCCCTTGATCTCCTGGCTGTGCTTCTACTCATACAACCCAGGAGGCTATTGGCCTTCCTTGCTCTCAGGGTACGATGCTGGCTCTTGTTTGGCATCACAAGGAGTCAAGGAAGAGCTTTTCTCCTACTGGCAGGATAGGAAACATAGCCAGCTCTGCCACAAGCTCAGGATTCCCAGGCATGCCCTCTTACTCTATGTGGTAGCTGGGCTGGGGGAGGATTTGAGGATTTTAATGAGCTTTTCTAGCAGCCCTGCTGGAGCAATATTTGCTACCATGCATCCAGAACTTCCTCGCATTCTGTCTGGAACACGTGCTGACCAACTCTCCAGCCGTATTCAGTGGCTGGAAAGCATCAGATTTGGTGCAATTAGTGTACAGCCTCCATGTACTCCAAACACATCAGAAGAACCATACGTGAGCAGACCTTCTGTGCACCCAATAAAAGTATATTTATCTATCTCCTGAAAAACCCAAGAGGAAATGCAGCAACTATAGGTATTAGCAAAATGATCTATATGGAAGGGGTAAGGGCTGGCCTCTTTGTGATAGGTCTAATGTGCAGCAAATATTGTGGCATCCACAACTATCTTATAAGTAATTTATTGTCATCAGCAGTGGGAAGGTTTGTATGTCTAACATCTCTTTCATCAATTCTGGCAGTTATTACTTAACCATGCACAGTGCTGAATGGTCACAACCCTGCTGGGAACCAACATCTTGCAAAATTGCTCATTATTCTCTTGAGCATGAAGAACCTCAGCCAAAAGAGATTAATCAGCCTTGCACACCTGGCTTCACACAGTTTGCTTCTCTTCTGTCCTGAGTGTTTTGTGCAATGATTTAAGACTCCAGTAATGTTCCAGTGAGAAGACACCACAGATTCTATGTTCATATTTCCACTGTCCAGCTTCTTATTCATCTACATATGTCCATGTCTGATGGATATTCCATGATGGAGACAATAACTGTTTCTACCCCTGGTTCATACATCACATATATTGTGAAATTAAAACAAACAAAATAAAGAACTATAAAATGCAGTCATCTCACTCTTATGTGCAGAGACAAGTTGTTCTCTCATTTACTCCAGATGATGGTAGCGCAGTTTCCAACAGTGTGCCTGGAGTTCATGGATTTGAGCAAGGCCACATTTGTTGAGCACACTCACTGAGCTGACCACGCAGGAAAACTTGCAGTACAAGGTCTTCGTTACTGATGTCAGTGAAGATATACTGATACATTTCCAAGCAAATTGATCGAACTCTCCTTGCAATGCAGACAAGTAGATTTAATGCCTCTGGTTAATTTTCAAGGCTCTATTCAGGTATTAGGGTCATATTCAGACAGGCTCAAGAGCTTGGGTGAAACACAGTCAGTCAGTCTGAACAAAGGCTTACATTAAAAATGATGGACAAGATTTTTGGCGGGTGTCCAGTGGAGTCACCTAGCACTGGTACCACTGAAAACTTGATTGTGTGAAGGATATCTTTAAATTTAGGTGAAAACTAAAGGTCCACACCTTTATTGTGAAGAGCGGAAACCAGAGTATGCACATCTGGTTCATGATGGAGTATGTAGTTACTTGGTATAATTAAGCTAGACTTATTCTCCTATGCAATTCCAAAGCTGCACTGACTCTGTCACAACTCTACTACATGGATGCTGCTATGAGAAAGGAAAAGAAATTTTCACTATATTTTAGAAGAAAGGTGAAAGAATTCCTGTTTGCTTTATACCTGAAGCATTTGGCATGTTATACTCATGCCCAACATACAATATTGCTCTAATCTTCAGGATCACAGAAGGCAGAAAACCCAGTTACTCCCAGTTATTCTTTTGTCAGAAGCAATACATGCCTGCAGTTGGGATCTCTTTGAATTGACCATTATGGAGGACACCTCTGCATCATACACATAATAGTGGGGCATCCAGGCACAGACACTGTCAGATGAAGAAATTAATTGAGATACAGCAGAAAAGGATCTAAAATCAACAGTCAAACCTGCACTTTTCAAAATGGAAGTGCAGATCTCATTGTAGTCTTTGTAATTCAGGACCAGCTCTAGAAGTGAAATTGCCTGGAGCACAAATGCATGAAAGCACTTTGTTACTACAAATCCCATAGGAGCCTTATTTTCAGGGCTGTATACAATTTACTCTTTACTCTTTCTGTTATTTACCTTTTATTGAAGATGATGTGTTCTTTTATGCAGGATACAAAGAGGAAATATACACAGATAACATATATGTAAGAAAAAAAACAGTAACTTGGAGTCCTTCCTGTACTTGAATAGAAAATCCTGGAAGTTTTTTTTTCTACTGTACAGAAGGCAATCTGCTTTAGAGGAGACGGCAGTGCCCTGTGGTTTGGCAATCCCATGAGTTAGATTTCAGCCTTGGTGGAGCCATCAGAAGAATTTTTGCCTTCCAAGAGACATGTCAAGGGGATATGATATTGTATTGAAAGCCAAAAGACTTGAGTTCTACTCTCTGTAACTCTCCCACTCTGCAACGTGGAAAGGCCACTTTCTCTCCATGCCTCTATTTCATCTTTGCGCAGCCTTTGCCTCTCCTATGTCTTTAGCCTAAGCGCCCTTTGAAGAAGGGGAAGACTTACTGTCAGTGTGTTGTTCCTAGTGTAGTAAAAACACTAGTATCAAGTGGATACTGTGGATGCAATGAAGCTACAACTAGCACTGAAAAAAGTCTGTCGTATGTGAGCTTGGCTCCATGCATGGTCTTCTTCCACATTACTGTTCTTAATAATTTTCAAGAAGTTTTAGTGCTTGGAAGTCCTAATATCAACCTTGTGCACCCTGGCTGGTGGATATGGATACTAATACAGGCAATACCCAGAATAGGCCAGGAGGGAGGAGGGAATAAAGGAGGCAAGGAGGATAGTTAGTGCTAAAAAGAACCATCTGGAAAAGGACTTTAGAAATCTGATATCGCTCGGGCGGGTGATGACCTTTGAAACCTGGAGGGCAACATCTTACTCCCAAGCTTTCTCAGGTCAAAAGAAGATTCTAGCCCTTTAGTTCCTTTACCATGTGGTTTGGCAATCCCATGAGTTAGATTTCAGCCTCGGTGTAGCCACCAGAAGAATTTTTGCCTTCAAGAGACATACCAAGTGGATGCCATATAACATCCCAAGAAGGGTGAACTGAAGCAACAAGAGGCCAAAGAGCGTGCAAGCCTTGCCTGCAGAGCTGCATTGCAGTGCCAAAAGTTTGTGGTGCTCCAGACTGGAAAGGGACTGGCCTTCCCCCTAAACACAAACACAGTTGCAGCTCACAGCATATGTATTTGCTCCTGGTTTTGCTCTTAGTATATGTGGTGGCCATTTCCCACACCCATCTTGGGAACTACAAGCCCTCCCATTAACTTCTTTTCCCTTCTGAAAACATTTCACGGTGCAACTCCAAAAATCTCCATCCTGCAGTTGAGTCATGGCAGAGCGATTTGCTTGTGGGCCTTTCATTGATTTCCCATAGAAGTCGGGGGAGTCTTTGCCTGACAGGTCAACTGTGTGATTCAAGGAACATGCCTACAGTTAAAAAGGTTAAAATTAAGTTCATGAGTCCAGAGAAAAGTGCCTGCCAAGTCTTCTGTAAAAGAACACATTAATCCTAACAATCTTTTGCCCTTTGTCATTTTCTCCTCCTGTACCCTCCGTTTTTCCAGACCACTCCTGTTTAGTATTCAAACCGTATTTCTTTTCTCTCTTGCCCTGTAATGTAATTTTTAACACCAGATGTTTTGCACATTAGAAATCTGTAAGAAATGTGACTTGTAGTAATTGCACTGCAGTGGCTGAGAAGGATCAGGAGTCCCTGAGCTTTCTCTCCAGCAGTGATGGTGGTGAGTCATGCTATAACTTCAGACACCGAATTGCTCTTCCCCTATTTGCGTGCCCGTTGAGCGGGAGGCATCGCGCTTACCTCGCAGGGCTGTTTTGGAGGATTAGGGCTTTGAAGCGTCAAAGCGTGCCGCAAGCCTTGTTAAGCTTTGCTTAACATGTTTATTAAGGGGCATGCACAGCCCTGGGATGTTTTTTTGTGGGACTCAGAAGTGCTGCAAAGCCACAGTATTTTTTCTGAAGACCATGCTGAGTGCACGCTATGCAGAGTTGTCAGTCGCAGCAGGGAAGGGGTGCACATTCCCGTGTTGACTGGCAACCTCAGTACCTGCTCACCCAGGCAGATTCTCTGATCTCCGTCTTAGTGACATGAACATTAACACCAGGGCCTCTCTCCCTTCTGTTTTAGATCCTGGCGCTCCTGTGAAACTGCCTTGTATGCCAGTTAAACTGTCACCTCCACTACCTCCAAAGAAAGTCATGATTTGCATGCCTTTAGGGGGGCCAGACCTCTCTCTCTCATCCTATTCCACGCAGAAGAGCTCCCAGCAGCCTTTGACCCAGCACCATCACACTGTCCTGCCATCCCAGTTAGCAGCTCACCAGCACCAGCTCCAGCAAGGCAGCCACAGCCAGCACCTGCCTTCTGGGTCCAGCACATTGCCCATTCACCCTTCAGGGTGCCGGATGATAGAGGAACTGAACAAAACACTAGCCATGACCATGCAAAGGCTAGAAAGGTAATGGATCAACTTTTAAAATTATGTATTAATGTGCACTGTTTCCTGATAACCTCGGTATCAATATCACCACTTGAGTTATATTCATAGTACTTGAATGAGGCCTTTCCTCTGGGGGTCTAATAACTTCAGGGCAGTCATTGCTGGAGAAACAGAGATGGGGAGAGAGCCTTTCCAGGCTTGTTTGAAAAGTTTGTGTTAGAAAGGAGGAAAAGACCAAATTTCCAAATCCCGTTGTCCCGCTCAAGGACCTAGATAATAGAGCCAGCAGACAAGGTGTGAATAGGAGATGCCTGGCTTGCAGTATAACTGCAGAGCTCTGGGTTTGTGGAGGATTGCTAGAAAAAGGAAAAAAAAAATAAAGAGAGGAAGTGGAAGATGCAAAAAAGAGCAATAAAACCCAAATGTGCCACTCAACCAGGGCGTCTGATTAGTATTACCAATTAGCTCAAAACAGCCTAACAGGACTTCCTACCCCTTCCTCAGAGGGTTTTTAATATACTATTTCAGTTAATTTAAATTAAATTATATGTCTGATCTTAAAATAGGGACTTAACCCATTCCACAGCAGCTACCTTCTTAGCTGTTTGCATCTGAAGGAAGCTTGTATATTTGATCAGAAGAGCTTTACCTGCCTCAGGGCTGTTTTCTGTTACTGTCACTTGTGGGTATCTCTGAATGCTGCTTCAGATAGTCTGAGTAAGTAAAGTGTGTTGTATAAATGCAAGCTGTCCTCATAAACTGCAAGATCAGCAAGCTTTGGTAAATTTATTTCATCTTGTAGAGGAAAATTGAGCAAGTCCCAGAATAGGGAAGGTAGTCCAAAAAAATGACATGTTCTGCTTAGTACCAAGGGCAGCTTTGTAGCCAGCTTGTTCTAGAAGCATCGGATCATCCTTCTCTTAGACAGGATGTGAAAATATTTGGTCTAACAGACAAAATGCCTAATGATTCGCCCCAATGCCTCTTTGTGATAATGTTGCCTTCATTATAGTGCATGGTTAAAAAGAATTCTATTAGAGATCCAGATTCTCCTTACTGCATGAAAAACGGTCAGGGGACCAGAGGCTGTCCCACATTGCCAGCTTATTTTAGTACCAGGATAGCAAGACCTCTGTGGTTATATCAGGTGGGTCTGATGTTTCTGCAGCATGGGGGAAATCTCTGCTGGGGCAAAACTGTTCGTGCTGTGAAGGAGGTTCCTCTTTCTATCAGTAAAAGGGCTGTAGCAGTAAGATTGGAAAAAGCATGCCCATTCCCCCTTGAGCCCAGTGACTACCCAGTTACCTCTCACATTGCTGGCAGGGCTGGTCAGATGCATCTGCCTCACCCCAAAGCTTGGTGCACCAAGCACAGAGGGTAGCTGGTGTCTCCCAAAGGCTCCTTTGGGGCTGCACTACCCGTGCCGGCCCCAGCATAGCTCTTACTGTCTGGCTCACACTGTGTGCAGAAGGCACTTTGTTATCCTGAGCCCAGTGAAATCTCTCAGAGTATGACTTCATTGTGGCATCTGTTGCCCCACAGCAATGAATGCTCCACTTTCTAGGCGTCCATCATGTTTATGTCTGCAAATGTGTTTAACTGATTTAAAAAAGGTGATGCTGTTTGGTTTTAACTGTTGATTTGAAGCTGAAATTCTGCTGCTTGTTAAAAACTGAACAAGCAAGGATTCATTTCCCAATATGAAGCAATTACCTCCCTTTGCAGAAGAAAATAAGAAAAGGTTGTGGCACTGATACCTCACATTTAAAATGAGAATTAATCCTAGTTCACAATAGTGCAGAGGGTTGATTTTTCATAGCCTTTTTGCGTTGATTAGCTATTATTTCAATCATGAAATAAAGTATTGAGTACTTCAGTTATTCTCCTTGTCAAAACAAATCAATAACGTTTGCATTCACAAGAAAGAAAATAGGTGATGACTGTTTCCTCTGCAACAGCAATTGTTATTTTCATAGTATTTACAGGTAAAAGTATTTCAGAGTATTTACAGGTCTGTGGAGCTGACACTTGCTGTTAAATTCTTAAATTGCTTTTTCAGACCACATTATGATCTTAGTAAATTTACTGAATCTTTTCCTGAAGATTTCTAAAATACCTGTATTTAACTTGGGAGAGGATTATTTGCAACTAATGCCACTGTTTTCTAGTATTTTTGACAGTAGTTCTTTTCCCTTAATTGTAAAAAATCTGGATTAAACCCAGTGGAAATTGTACTGCAGTATTCATCATTGTACACTTCAGCCCAGAAGTCTTGAGAGCCTGTTAAGACTGCAGAGATCCTAGATCTACTCTCCTCCATTTAAAATTTGGTAGTGTGCTCACATCTGTTGCATGCATAGGATATGCAGTGACATCCTGAGCTTTACTGTTCCTTCCAAGATAACAATGTACTAGGTCACTGCTGTTGGGTCAATAATCGTGAGGAGATGAGAGAGCCTGACAAGTCTCTGAGGCACCTTCTGGGGAATGCTAAGTTCATTGGCAGCACTTATTTTTGCTGATCTCTGTCTTTATCTCGAAAGAATCCTACAACTTTATAGAATAATTGCCATGATGCTACAGTAATAATGCTGCCAAGTCTGGTAATTTGGGGGATTATTTAGAATAGTATTTCGTTTTTAATAAGGGAGTATCATGTAGACAAGTGTAGATCAGTTTTCTGCTCTAAATTTTTTCTTCTTTTTTCCTTCAGGATTTTTTTTTTTATTTTTTATTCCCTGTGTCTAGTTTCTTTGGTGCTGGTGCACTGGATGCTCCTCAAGTCTGTTAAAGTCCATTGATATGCTCTAAGTCCATAACCAGTTTGTATCAATTTGCCCAGTAAATTTTTTTCAGACCTCACAACTCTTCTCTCCACCAGGACTGTGAGTGTGGACAGGAACAAAGAATGAAAGACTAAAACATCCCCTTCCTCTAGCAATCTGGATTTTTTGCTTTCGCAAATGAGGTCTCTGGAATTCAGATAGTCTAACAACATCTGAAGACTGATACTTGAAATCAGCGCTTTACCAATGAGCCAGAAGCTTACCGAAGAAAAATGAGCTGTCCCTCTGTACCGGCCTGGAAGCCAGAAGTTATTTTGCTGTGTTTGACCTTGAGAAAGCTACTGAGCTTCTCTACCTCTATTTTCCCCTCTGCAGGAGTTGTTGCATGTTGCTGCATCACCTATATCTAGTGCATATTAATAATTTAATGTCTCAAGGTACATTAAAAGCATGTCATAGCTAGTCAAGTCCCAGTTGTTCTTATGACTTAAAATGGCAGTTAATTCCTGGATTTTTTATTCTGTTTTATTACAGACATTATAGAACATTAAGTTCATTTGCACACTTAACGCTTTTGATTGCAAACATTTTCTGGTACTCGTAACATCTATTCATAACCTATTCTCAGAAGGGCAATCTGTCCCTTGTCATAGTATGACTATTATGACATGTCATTTGTGCTGCCAGTTTGCCTCTATTTTCCCTGATAAATTACCAGCTTTATGATAGATTAAGCTGAAACAGAGAAGAGTGTAATTTCCACGCAACCTTTTTTCTGCAACCTCTGTTGCTAATTTGTGCCCTACTGCAAATGACTTTCCCCTTCAGCCCAAAGGGTATGTGTCAAGCATAAGTAAAACTCTAGATTCAGGCATCATTTTTTACCTTTTCAGAATGCATTTTAAGAGTTAGTGAAAATCTGATAAACCCTGCTGCTAAAATCCACAGAAGGTGTTATCCTCCTGACTGAAATGAGTTTGAGAAGAAAGACCATGCCCAAAAGCCGTGTGTCAGGAACAGCTTTAGACACCCTCGTGTGCCACTGGAATGTATCTTTAATTTTGACTTAGGGAGGCAGCTTCTTGCTCTGAAATAGCCTTATTTTCTGCCTTGCCCATATACTTCTCAGTCTGTCTGGTAAGACGACAATTAATTTCAGTTACTCTGTGGGCTGTTGTACACCAGCAGCTGAATCAAGGCCTCAGTTTGTTCAACGTATGTACTAAAGAGCTGTTAAGTGGCAATATCTCAGTCTGGGCTAGAACTGTATCTGTGGCAGAGCAGTGAAAAATCTCTGTGTCCAAAAAGACACTGTGTGAGACCGGTTCCTCTGGGACACCCAGTTCAGCTTCAGACTGTAGATTTATGAAATGAAATGCATTAGACATTCCTGCCAGTGTCTTGTAAATCTTATAAAACGTATTTGAGTCAGAAAACATTTATCTTCCATAAAACTTGTCAAGAGAATTGCTTTTTGTCTAAACTTTAGCATTGCCTAAGGATAGAAACACTTAATATTTATAGCTCTGCCTTCTCTCTCTGTCTCTCACACATATGCCTGTATTGTAGAAACGTATATACAACGGTTTGAAGTTTTTTCAGATTTTTGTTTTAACTGATAAGTACAGAAGAGCGTAGCGTGGATCTGAAAACATGCTGATAAAAATGTAACTCTTTATTCCAAAATCAAAGAGCCTGGGATGACAGATGAGAAGCGTGCTTTTTTTTCCCACTAGATTCTACAGGAGGGATTTTACTTTTTACTTTTTAGGTTTTGTCTGTACCACGAGTCACTCATATGCTTGAATTCTGATTTTTCATGAAAATCTTTTCTCACTAGAACCGTTGAAAGCTATAGTGGCATAATTTTTTGCTGTTTTGATCACCTAAAGATGATGCAACAGTAATTGCAAGTGCTTGTACTAGTCAGCTATGAATTACTCAAATCTGTGTATTAAGATATATTTATCTTAAAACAAGTACTTGCTTCCAGTAGCTTTGTTCTCTAATTTTGTTGAAAAACATGAAGCTGATTTAAAATGGACTGTTTGAAACAATAGTGGGTTTTTTGGTAAATAATGCTAAAAAAATTTGTGGTGTAGACCACCTGACCACGTGGGATTTTTGCTAATGACCCAGAGGGATTTAGACACAATGGAAATATCCAGTGACCTTGATTCATCTTTCTTGAGTATACTGCAATACTGCATGTATTTCACAAGTGTTTTGCTTAGACAGCTGACTTAGTCAAAATGCTGTGGAAAAGGCTGATTTTAATCAAGAAGAACACAAAACACCAGGAGAAAATGAGGGGCTTAAAATGGAAAGTAGTATTATCAAGGAAGTGGATGATTCAGAAAAATGACAATGAGATGAGAAGCTGTCTATTTCTAGATCAGTAGTTCGAATAAAGATCTAGCATGGTAATTTGTAAATCTTGTTGCCATCTGATACCTGCTTGGTAACCTAAATTGGGGAAGCACTTTGATATCTGCTACCCTATGAGCATGCCCATAAGGATGCATCTGTAACCTACGTACATCCTTCACAGAACAGGGAAGCACCAAATGGTCCTGGATGCTGAACTACTTTTTGCTCCTTTCATTTGTACTTCCAGAAAGGACTTAGTGAACTCATACTTACTCTCTGTGTATGTATTGTTTTAAAATTACCTGAATGATCCAGTGGTTGTGTTCACCATCACAAGTTTTTTATATATTTTTTTTTTGACAATGTTAACAGAATTTCACAACATTTTACTTTCTCTTGTAAATTTAATTCCAGTTTTTTTCATTTCCTACCTTTCCTCTTCAAAAAGAGTTACACAAAAAATAGGTTGCAGAGGAAACAGATTTAAAAAATTAAGTTAATATAATTAAAATTATTAAAGCATATCAATAAATTAAAAGTTGGTTGGAAGTTTTTTAATACTGTAGTGCATTTATGTATTATTAGGAGAATTCAGCCGATGACTTCTAAAACTACTTCCAGGATAAAAAAATTTGGGGGGTCAAACTCATTGAAGTCTAATACAAAAATTCACAAGCCAGTTCTTCATGAATCTTTCATAGTTTGTGGTACAAAAGATAGACTATCACTAAGGAAATGGAGAGACTCTCTTCAAGGCATACAATAAAGCTGTGCATCTCATTGTTTGTTAGTCTGCAATAGTAAAAGTTGCAATTAAGAAAATTATTTCTTTGAAGAAGGAGAAATGTTTCAAGTTGACTCAGTAGAAAATCATTTAAAGAGAAGAATGCAACCTTTTTTCAAAATGCAGAATGCCTCTGGTATTCTGAACAGACTAAAATATTCAAGAGAAGTGATGCTACTCAGCATCGGTAAGGTCAGAGCCAAATTTGGGTGCCTCAAGTGAAACTTGGCCAGCACATCTGGTTTCACATCTGTGTTCTTGTGAAAAGTAAAATGGAAGTTTGACGTAGAGATGGTGTCCGACAGGAGAATGTTTCCCACCTTTTATACAGCTGTTGCCCCTGCTGAGACTTAGAGAGAGTGGTTGCTGCTGACTCAAAAATAAACCTGAGCAGCCATCATTTCTGCCTGCCAGTCTCTCAGTCTCATTCCATATTGGAAAACCAACGTGAGCTATTAGATAAAAATGGGTTGGGAAACTTGGTTCTGTTCCTGACTTTTCCTTTCACCTTTTGTTTGACTTTGATCTTCACCTCCTCATGTTCCTGTTTCCCTACCTGTATTGGATATTAAGAAAAATTTCTTCACTGAAAGGGTTATCAAGCATTGGAACAGGCGGCTCAGGGAAGTGGTTAAGTCACGATCCCTGGAGGTGTTTAAAAGATGTGTAGATGTGGTGCTTAGGGACATGGTTTAGTGCTGGACTTGGCAGTGTTAGGTTAACGGTTGGACTTGATGATCTTAAAGGTCTTTTGCAAGCTAAACGATTCTATGATTCTATAATTGATATGTTTCTTGGTAAAGGGCTTTGAAGTCAACACATAAACAGAGCTAGATGGTAGCAGTACTGACGACAGGTCCGAACCTAGTAAGCTGCAGGAAATCATCGATCACACTTTATGTGACAAAATAAATATGTTAGCTCCAGTTCAGATTGATCTCCAGCGCCTGCTGGAGTGAGCAGCCGGGGCAGGAGAAGCGATATCATCACTGCAGCCCCCACAACACATAACTGTGCCATTAGCAAACAAACCTCCCAGGTTTTAGCTCCCTCCCTCTCACCAGCTCCCAAAGTCTCTTTGCTCCAAGCCCAGTTTCACATGCTTGGTCCCCCGCGCTTCAGACAGTCATGCCCTTCCTTCCCCTCAAGTCAATCAACATCTTGCCCAAGGAGCACAAGTCATGGTTTCCCTCTGCTTTTCTACAGTCCTCCTCTACAATCTGTACCTTTCCTCCCTCCCACTCTGAACTCCACCTTTTGCATTCAGGTGAGGCATTTCCTCCTTATTGCCTGCACACCAGTGGAGAGGTGAAACAGACCAGACTGAAGACATGCTTGTCACTCTGAGTAGCTGGTGCGCTTCTCACTAAGCCTTGGGACTGTATTTGCTGCAACTCTTTAGTTCTCAGTCCTGGCTGCCGGTATTTCTGCCTGCATACTGTCCTACCTCTCCCTGACAAGTATTGTACCTTAAATCTAATGTGTACCCAGTTTAAACCCATTAGATGTCTTGCTGGTCATGAAGATCTTTCTGTCCTTGCTTCTTCTCAAAAAGGGATGAAAGACCACTACTTCCCTAAATACAGTGAGAGAAGCAACTCAGTCTTCCATTGAACTGTTGCCTTTAGTTTATTTATTTGTTTCTCTTTCCCAACAGCTCTGGTTTACACACAGGTGACAGTGTTACAAAAACAGGACCTGGGGGCCTTCCAGACATGAGACAAGTGCCAACTGTTGTGATCGAATGCGATGACAATAAAGAAAATGTGCCTCATGAAACCGACTATGAAGATTCTTCCTGCCTCTACCCAAGACAGGAAGAGGAGGAAGAGGAAGATGAAGATGAGGATAACTCATTATTTACAAGTAAGACTCATTCCATTTTTTCCTTCTCGTTTATTTCATTTCTCCTCTGAACTCCCAGTATACAAGGGAAACACAAGACCTGTGAATTTTCTTTCTCGACTACGTCTTTTGCATCTTTCAGGGCTTGACTACATGGGGACACTTGGTAAATTAATCAAAAATAACAAGTAGTATAAATTTATAGTGATTTCCCTAATCCGCATGAATCCCTGTCTGGGTAGCTCTCAGACAGAATTCAAATGACTGGTTTTGGCTTATGTTAGTTCACTTCCAAATTGACTTTTGGATTCACTTTCCCAAATGTCTGTGGTGTAGAGAAGCCCTGTCTTTGGCTTAAGTCAAGATCAGCTCAATGGAGTTGCCTCAGGAAGATGAAATAAGTGCCACTGGTAGAGAATCAGAGCTTTTATATATAGGAAGTATTAAATCATGTCAGAGTCGTAAGTCTACAAATACTTTGAAAGGGGTCATGACCAGAGAATCAGGCTCAGATAAGAAAAGAGGTTAATTGATAGCCATATTTCAGTTACAGTCTGGAGAGAGACCTGTGGCCCCTTCCTGACCTGTTTGAGAAACACATCTCCTGCCTCGGTGTGGCACCATAGGATTCTCCCATGAAGACAAGATACTATAGTTTGTGTATGACAACTGCTTGTCATCCTGCAGGTCAAGCTGAAGTTTCAGGCCCTTGGATTTCTTTTCTTTGGAAAACTGGGAGCAGTACAAACAAACACCACCCTTTTTAAAACACATACAAAGAATTTTCTAAAATGAGCATATTTCATCTGCTCAGAATCCTCCCTTACCCTGCAAGTGAAATTAATCAGTCTTTGCTCTTAAACTACGAAACAGAGCAGAACTGCACTCTCCTGCCAAATCCCAAAACCTCTCGTGGGTTTGTGTCTCTCTGTCCTCTTGTGTCTGTCTTCCCTGCTCAAACTTCTTTGGATGCAAGCTTAGGAAAGTAAACTTGAGCCATGAAAGGCTGCTGGTTTTCACAGTGTCTTTGCCACTGTAACTGCCTGAGAAGCAGTGTCAATTAATGTACATAGACATCTGTGCTGCTTCTGATTGACTTTTGATTCCATCTAGTGCTAGCTTGGATGTCTTGATATTACATCGCAAGAGAGAGATACCCCTCTTTCCACATGCTGTAGCTCTGCTCCCTGCCCAGACTCTGAGGTTGAATTATTCATTCCATTACATGGTTCAGAAACACTATGCTGGAGAAAGCTACAGATGCTACTAGCAATTCTGAAACAAACCCTTCTTCTTCGCTCCCCTCTATGGAGCAACATCTTAGTTTCTTTTTCCTGTATACCTACCAAATTCAGCTTTTCCTTATTATGATAAGGATTGAGGTTAATTGAGCACATGAAGTTAATTGACACCCCTTTTCCCACACCCCATACCAGTGTTAATGGGAGCCTAGTATCCTCCCTTGGCTAGTAGTACTTTGCCTGCTGCATGCTGTAATGAAATGATGACACCTCCTTTAGCAGGGCCTCTTCTCTTTCTCACAGGCTCCCTGGCAATGAAAGTCTGCAGGAAGGACTCTTTAGCAATCAAACTAAGCAACAGGCCTTCCAAGCGAGAGCTGGAGGAAAAGAACATCCTCCCCATGCAGACTGATGAAGAGAGGCTCGAACTCAGGCAGCAGATTGGTACGAAGTTAACAAGGTAGGAGACAAAACATTTTGCTAACTCCTGCTTTTGGAAATATGTGGTGGGATGCAGTTTTTATACTTAGTCTGTAAACATCGGAGATCTGTTTGCTCACAATGTTCAAGAGGAAAAGCCAAGCAAGAGGAGGGCAAAGACTGTAGACACTATTTCTGCTCAAATATAACTTCCCATACAACTCCCCATTTCATTTCCCTGGCATATCCTATGGGATCTTCGGTTGTGTTAAGTGTCAGCATAACACTGTGTGGATTTGGTTGGTTTTGGTGCACCATTGGGAATGTTCACCTTTGATAACATTTTGGACTGTAGCTGCAGGTGCCATTTGATAGGCTATTAGTTTGGCCAAAGGGCACAGGTATAACTTTCTCTTCTGACTGCATCTCCTGTGAGTAGCTGAGTCTTTTCCTGATCCAAAATACTTCAGTAGGTCCTTCAGTACCTACTTTTGTTGGGTCAGGTTGGATAAACTGTTTCTTCTTCATAACAGTGTTACTCACCAACTGTTCTGGTTTTCTGTATTGCATGGGGTATAGGTGGGTGGCCATTAAATGTGGAAGATTTCTGTCAAGATTTAGTAAACTGAGGTCAGGTAGTAATGTCTAAGAACCTCCTATGCTCCGGCCGTGATTTCTATAATCAATATAATACTGTTGTTATCAACTTGGTGATATGCATAGCTGGTGAATGCTGTTAGTTGCTCTCCAGTGTGACTCAGAAAACCACAAGGAAGAGATCAGCCAGTTGCTGGGAATTTGCTTGTGGGGTTTTCTTTTTGTTTTTTTTTTCCTTCTTTTTTTGGGGAGGGAGGGGATAAAAGGGGAACACTGCTACCATGTTGTGGAGACAGGAGGAATAGGAGCTCCTGGTAAATAGCTCTTCCAGCATTTTATCTACTTTTTTCATGGCCTTGTTTATCACCTCTTTGGAATAAACTAACCACATCTTTCCAGTCTGTCTTTGAAAGTCTTTGTCCTGCATCATGCAGGCTAACTGCTCCAACACCTGTCTAATTCTTCAGTATTCTTGTTGAAGGGCCTCAGCAGTGATGCCCAAAGTATGCAAGATGGCACTGCACTGTTGCTGGTACTGTGATTTTTTTTCAGTCCAGTCTTTATTCAGCCTAATACCTTGTTAGACTGCAGCTGCACGTGGAGCTCTGGGTCCCAAAGAGCAACACATGATAGCAAGGTCCCAGTGCTTATATTTGAACCCTTTTGAAGCGTGAAGAGTTGCAATTTTTGTCTCTTAGCGTATCTTACTGTTCACTGCTTGACCTTGCAATGACATTGAACAGCATTTCTACTGTGTTGCCCCTTTGCATAAATTACTTAAGTCTCTCCTAAGTTTTATAGCTCTGTTTGATGAAGGTAAATAGTGTCACTGGCAAACATTGACTCTGCACAGTTCACTGTGCCCCGGGTGATTTTTGTTATAAATGTTTTATATCTCACCTCTCCAAAACCTGCTTTTTCCCCATTAAAGCAATTTGCTTCAGCATATCTCTTTTTAACAAGGGAAACAAACTTCAGCAATACCCAGAACATTTCCAGTGTAAGCCCCATATTCTCACGATGTCATTATTTGTTTCCCCAGTTGCATCTCTGGTCATTCAGTCTGAGGTATAATGCTTGATCTTGTCTTCTAGTATAGCTAGGACTTAGGGGCAATCACAAATAGTTCAAATAATTAAAACTGTTTATATATGAGCTCAAATAATAGCCAAGCCACTGCTTTTCATTTCCATTTTATACCGGTGTAACATCACTGAAATTGGTAGAATTTCACAAGCCTTATCTGGAATAATATATTTGCTAGTCTGACCTTTAAATTACAACTTAGTGTCTCATCCTTTTGGGTAGTTAAAAACAATCAAGAAATACGAGGAGAAAACAACTTTGCTTATCTCTAATATGCAAAAAGCCACAGATATTTGAGCAGCAAAAAGGAAGGTGCCTGTCTTACCAGTGCTGCGTATCTAGATGGCATGTATCCATGTGCACAGACTGATGAATATTAGATTGATATAGAGAGAATATTTCAATTTGGACAGTATCTCTTTACTGTCCATACTTCATTAATGAATCCGTCCTTTGCCATTGCTCCATAATTGTCACTCAGTGATGCAAATGCCAAGCAAAATTAAAGTAGTGAAGCATTTATAGTCCTTAGAGAAGATGCTAGATGCAGAGTATAATTGCAGCTGGCAATTTTGGATTTCAGAGGGATTTGTACTGTTCCACCAATGGTCCCCTACGGTTTAAAATAGCCAGCCAATGAAGTCACATATGCTACTTACAGAAGTAAAAAATGCAGAATAAAAACTTCAGCAAATAGTTATTGTCTGTAATGGATCAATTAATTTTCACCAAGAGGCTGATTAGGATACTTCAGTATTTATGTATAATTCTCACAGTATTTAGTTTGGAAAAGCTCATTGGCTGCCACATTTGGCAGATCAGAGTTTAGTACTATAAAGAGAATGTCATTTTTAAAGACACTTATAGCCAAGCATATTGAGAGATTGACCATTGACATATTGTGTGGGACCAAAACCATCCCAGGTGTCGTTCCTCCAGCCTTATTTAGAGCTGCACCAGGAAATCAGTTTGCCTCAGAACTGTTTGTTCAGATCCTGTTTAAATGTAGCTTGGAACCTCTGAACCGCCAGTTAGTCCCAGAAAATTGTTACGTCTTTATTATTGCATCCGCCAGCTGGTAGAGAGACTCCAGACCAGACTTCACCGTGTCGCCTGTTTCCTGTGCTGGGAGAATAGTGGCCTGGCTTACACCAGACCAGTTGTGGGGGTGAGGCTGCAGACACCATATCTTGCAGCAGGATCTGGCCGACTACACACCTGAATATTAACTCAGCCATGAGACAAATCAACACCTGTGTGCCTATCGTAAACACTTCACAGGAATGTAGGGCTTTGTGGTGTGTATCCTATATCAAGACTCAGCAATTGTAGATCCAAGCAAAAACGGAGCTTTTTGCCCAAGGTGGCAAAATATGTCCTAGCAAAGGCACGAAAGCCCACGTCACGTGAATTCCAGACGGTTGAACAGGCTAGTGCACCATAGACTGTTTCTGGGCAGTCTTCACACAGCAATTACAGCACCGATTAGACAACCTCTTCCTATAACCAAACCCGAATGGACTACTCCAAAATGTGATACCTACTATGAAACAAGGAGCAAAAATAGTGAAATAATTTGCAGAACTTCAGCTCATAACCACATGGGACTTGGGGATAGGAAATGGATGCTGGAGGCCATGTTCTTGGCTGCTAAAAACCCTTACAACTCCATTAGTGTTTGCTCTGAAATGCAGACCTTCTGCGCTAAGTAAATCTTTAAGTGGGTATGGTTTTCATTTTTTCTGCCTGCTCAGCTTCTCCCAACTCCTCCCTTTTATCCCTCTGGTGCCTGCACAGTTTCACAGCTGCTCAAGAAGGGCTTACAAGTGACTGCAAGATAGAAAAGGGAAAACAGAATGAAAAGCAGGACTCTCAAAGTTAACAGGCAGAGGGAAAAGACAACTTCTGTCTTCTGCCTGTTACTCTGGCTGTGTCAGGCCTCCTGGGAAGCGCTGATTCCCCAGTTATTCAGGCTAGAGCAAGGAGCGGGAGGGCCTGGATTTAGCTTTTGGTGAGTATCAGGGTGAAAGGAGTGGGGCGTATCTGGGAGACGGCTGTGAAGCAAGGACTCGGACAGCTTCTGGATCTGAGCTTGGATGTTCTCCCAGGGGCAAGGATAAAGGCATGGCCTGTCAGGAGCCCCTGGCGAGGAGGAGGGCCAGCACTGATGGGTGATGCACATCAGAGCTGTATGTCTCCCAGAAATGGCGGGACCATCCCCTGGTACTGAGATGGGTGCTTCAGTGCCAGTCCTTGCACTTCTGTTTCACCAAGGAATCATAATGGTGGTCACAAGAGACCACACAGACTTCCTCAGTCAGCGTATTATCTAGTAAGCACAAAAGCTCTTTAGAGAAAATGTATCTCTATATTTCTGTGTAGCTGCACACTACACCAGACTTCACTGAGGATTTTGCACTGGCTTGGACTGGGAAGACCTGGTTTCTTTGCATATTTTCACAAAGTCTCTCCCATACCTTGAGACAACATGTGTCTTTATTTAGACTATGGATGATCTGCCACACATCCTATGAGAGAGGCTTTCTAAAGCACTCGGTCTTTTTTTTTAGTCTCTTAAACCCTGAACTCTGGTGAAGGTGCTCATTAGCAATTAGATACAAGAGTAGCAAAGCTGAGATTTTGATCCATAGCTTTTCAAGAATGCATAGCAGTGTCCTTATCTGTTTTCCCTGAATTGCTTCCATCCTGGCTTTTCCCACCTGCTGGAATAGGATGATCTCATCATACAAAAATTTGGGTAATCCAGAATTATTATCATCTCATTGCTAATAATCAACTTTAAGGGGACTTCTCGATATTCACAGTATTATTACTGGTCAGCATCATATCTGTCTCAGCAGCACACTTCTGCCCACCTTGAAGCAGAGGACAGACTGGCTGAAGGTCACAGGCCAGGGGAGATAGATAAAGGCTGTCCACAGGCAAGCAGTGCATGTCAGGGGACTGCTACCCATCACTGGCAGGTGCCACAAGCAACCCAATACGATTTTGTAGCCTGTGCTGTGCCACTGCCAAAAGCTGTCTGTTGTAGGAGTCCCGTTTAACCCAAAACCATGCCCAGTATGAAAGCAAAGAGAGATGAGGTTGGGGAGCAGCCCTTTGCACATTAACTAAATAATTAAATTAGAAACCAATAAAGAAGAAAGTAACTCTTTGCAGTGTTCATTCACTACCTTTTGCCTCTCTTGTGACTTTGAGTGATGGACATCCCATTGCTCAACTGAATCCTGTGAGTATGACACTGTATAGGTTCAGCTGGCTTTAAAGCAGAGAATCAATGGCAAGCTCCTCTGTCACACGTACAGTAGTGCTCTGCATTGTTTATTGTACAGCCTT